AAACATCAAAATGATGGAAAAGYATACTAAGTAATTACAATAACGCCATTGGCGGTCCCCCTCACAAAATACAAGCAATGCCCACCCATGACACACATGTTGACACCATGAAGGCACGCGATTGGCACTCGGATGGCTCACTGTAAGTGCTTGGTGGCGCGACAAAAGAGTCACCTGTGACAAGAAAGCAGAACAGAAGAAGCAGTATCGGAAACTAAGACAGAAACGGAAAAGGTTCCTGTAATCCTATTGAGCGATGAGCTCCTCGGGAGCCGGTCATCATCACCGGCTCACTGCTACGTGGCTTGCATGTATGCGCCAGCTGGATATTTCAGTCGGATCACAAGCCGTGGGACCCATTCGGCGAATTCTACCCCCACAAGCGTAATCATAAGATACTTATAAGCCGCACATCGGGAACATCTCAGATGTCATTCACGAGAGATGTTCCCGATGCACATGGTAAAGGATTATCAAAGCTAGGGCCTACATCATACGGGATATGCCCGACCAATACCACGACCGTTCAATTGCATTTATTTATTAGTGGATGAGAACCGTCCGGCCTAATTATTTTTGTTTTTTGTTAACTATTTACTGGTAGAGGGGCCCCTGCTGGATTGGACTAAGTTTGTTGAAAATTATTAATATATGTTGGTCTTAAAACTGAGATACAAAGAGATGACAATTTTAATGGGAAATGTCAATTTTGACCACAGGTATACATATTCACGTGCCAGACTTCGGGCCTAACTTACAGTGTCAGATTCGGGTTTTGGGCCGGGTTCATTGGGCAAAAGTCAAGCTCAAGCTCGGCCATGAACAGTTCTAGCCCTCATTGGTGGCTAAAAAAGTAAAGTATTTCTATTTATTTGACAGGCACAGCTCTCAAAATTTAAGTGTTTAATGCATGGTTTTCAAAATCGGACCGGACTGGACAGTTGGACCGGAAAATTAGTAATAGCCAGGCCCTCGGGTCCACTTATACTAAAACCCGGAAATCTCTAAAAGACGTTGAAAAAGCCAAAAAATCGTTGACCTGGGCGATCGGACCACTAAACCGTTTGACCTGAGCAACGGTTCGCAAGTTCTCTTTTTTATTTTCACTGTTTTAAATAAAATAAAAAAAGGAAAATATAACATTACTTTAACATCCCCATCCCAAATCAATTAATCGAATGTAGGGTTAGAACCCCATTTTCGTTCTAACCCTTCGCTCTTCCCTCCTCTCAGCCCTCACACCCAATCGACCACCTGCAGCGGCCAGCACCTTCGGCGTTCGACGGTGACATACAT